TGACAGGCAACAGGCCGAGGAAGGACTGCTTGCTGTGTTTGGAAAGACACAGTGTCACTGTGGACAGGCAGCCCACTCCCTAGCCAAATTAGAGCCGCAATGACGTAAACAGTGCATTCTAGCTCATTGGCATGGTTATCATCATTCATGTTGTTAAGCTTATGCAGTAGGAGAAATGCCCAAGTGTGATTTGGACTTAAATTTTGATTTTGGAAGCCAGACAGCCACAGTAAGGAACCCACCTCAGCAGACATCTGCTGCCCACCCAATGCGATGAACTCTGCATTGCTCTGGTGTTGTTTGTTAGACGTTGAACAACCCCAGGGGGCGCTGCTCCTCTTGCTGTGATATCAGGCAAGTAGATTTATCCCAAGTGTCCAGCAGGTGGCAGTGAAGTGCTTGATGGAAGGAGCACCCTTTCCCCTAATTTGCAGCCAGTTGTGTGGTTGGTAAGTGGTAGGCTGGATGCGAAGCACAGCTGGGTGAACCTAGATTCTCACGGGGAGCCTTCCCCAGATAACCCATGCCCCCGAACTCAGCAGGGAGATTCAGAGACAGCGGACATGGATGGAGTCCATAGATGTGCATTTTCCAGAAAGCATCCCAGGAAAATGGTAAAGATGTAAGAGTCTAAGGAGTAGTGTATTTTCTTACATTTTAGCAACTTTCTGTCAACCCTCTTAGGCTGTCTCTCAGGGGCCAGAAACGAAAGCATTCTTCAAAACAAGGAAAATAAATAAGCATTACTTATCTCAGCAGAGGACTCTGGGAGCTTTTGAAATCTTTGTGTCAAGTACTACTTTCATTTTAAAATTGTAAATGACTATTTTCATTTCAGACTTACAAAAGGGTTGCAAGAATAGTACAAGGAACTCCCATATGTCCTTGCCTTAGAGACTACACTGCTCGCTGTCCCAGTAATGTCCCCAATCATGCAAGGATCCAGTCCGGGATCCCACATTGAACCCTGTGGTCTGGAAGAGTTTCTGCGTCTTCTCTCAGTTCTCACTGCCGTGATCCTTCTGAAGATCTCAGTTATTTGCAGAACATTTCTTTATTTAGGTTTGTCCATGATGGCTCGTGATGGGACCCCGAGTGTGCATTTTGGCAATCCATCTTAGAAACGATGCAGTGTTGAGGCCAGCTGGTGGTGTGATGGTTAAAACGATGGAGCCCACGGGGCCAACTGCTTGGTTTGAATCCTGATCTTGGCGGCTTGAAAAACACACTGGACGTGTGTGCCCAGAATGAAGGAGAAGGGATTACAGCGTGGCCATGCCCCCGGAGGGGTGCGCTCTCTCTCTCTTCCCTCCCTCCCTCCCTCTTCTTCCTTCTGTTTCCCTCTCTCCCTTGCTCCAGTGAATGCATGCACCCTCTAGCAAATTTGAAAGAAAGGAAGGAAGGATGCTGTGTTGTGGTGTGTCCTCTCAGTGGCACTGATGACTGTCCGCCCGTTATCAGTGAGGTGCACGCCTACCACCGGGTCCAAAAGTGTGCCCCATGTTTCTCCACCGCGGCTGCTCGTTTCCCCTTTGTGATGGATAGGTCTTTTGGGGTGCTCTTTGAGACGCTGTAAACATTCATACCCCTTTTACCTGCTAGTTTTAGTATCCATTGACATTTCTCGCCTTAATTATGGATACTAAAATGGAGATTTTTCTATCTCCATCACTGCTTCTATATTTATTAGTTGGCTTTCTGTAATAAGGAAGAGATTTCTCTTGTGTTTTTGTGTTTGTTTGCTTATAGCAAGAGAGACTCACAGGTTTCCATTTATTCAATAGGGTAATTGTTATTATCCTAGTTTTGGTTGACGGGAGCCCCTTCAAGGTGACTGCTTTGTCCACTAGGCGTGTCTTCATCATTTCTCAGCACTTTCTGTGTTTCTTACTCAGCAAGCTGTTCCAAGCTCGTCTTGTTCTTTTCCTGCCTAAGTCCTGGAATCAGCCATTTCTCCAAGCAGCGCTAGTTCTTTTTTTAGCATAGAATGGGGATTTAGAAACCACAGTCAAGATGCTAGGTGTGCTCAGTGCTACCAGGCTGTTGGTAATCCCACACTCCTCTCATCCCTAACTTTGTCATTCATGGAAGATGATATCAACAGAAGATGCATATTCTGAAAAATACATACATTTAAAAAATTGGGGGCCTAGAAAAACTCGTGCTTTAATTTTTCCACAAAATTTTTGGAGCCCCCTCATGCCGTTACATATTTTCATTTTTCTTTCTCCGTAAGTTAAGAACCATACGTTTATACTGATAAGTGTCATTCCAAGCCAACGGCACAGGGATTATTCTAGTTTTCTCCTGTTCAGTGTCTGTAGCTCTGTTCTTGCACAGAAACTGGATCCCGTTTTCCTTTCTCGGTGTGCTCATTGGCTTAGCCTTTCTGCACGCACCAGTGTGCTGACCTCCTTGTGTGGGTCCCCTTTACCCCTCTGCACTCCGGCCAGGTGGCCTCTTTCTCAGCAAGTACAGCCTCTGTACTTGGGAGTAAAAGGAAAAGATAGGCTGGCCAAATAATCATTAAAAAGAAAAAAAAAAAAGAAAAACAAAACAAGGTTTCTGGTAAGAATAAGATCATGAGTCTTAAGTGATTTTTGTTTTGTTTTTATTTCCGTACTTTTCTGTAGTTCCTGGTTTTGTTGATTATTTAAAAAAAAAAAAATAGTCATGGACAAAGAAGAAAAGGATGGGAAGGAGGCCCTTGAGACTATTCACCCCAAAACCATCTGCTCAGAGTTAATGGCTCTCTTTTCTCTCTTAGCATTGATGGAAAAGATAGGCTGGCCAAATAATCATTAAAAAGAAAAAAAAAAAGAAAAACAAAACAAGGTTTCTGGTAAGAATAAGATCATGAGTCTTAAGTGATTTTTGTTTTGTTTTTATTTCCGTACTTTTCTGTAGTTCCTGGTTTTGTTGATTATTTAAAAAAAAAAAAATAGTCATGGACAAAGAAGAAAAGGATGGGAAGGAGGCCCTTAGACTATTCACCCCAAAACCATCTGCTCAGAGTTAATGGCTCTCTTTTCTCTCTTAGCATTGATCGTATTTTGACCCTCGTTGAAGAAAGGGTGACACCATCCCACTGATGTAACTTAAAACCCTGTGCGTCCAGATTGACTGGAGGAAGGGCAATAATGAGCCTGGATTAATTGTTCAGTGTGTTTCTGGTAATATAGCTCTCTCTTTTATTGACTATGGAGCAATTAAATTAAGCCGTAACAAAGAGCTGCCTCTACAAGTCCTTTGGGGAAAGCTGATTAGCCAAAGGTTTCTTCTCTTTAAAGAACGAAATTCCCAGCTCAAACTGGTTTAAGAGGGGGAAACATTATGCCCGGTCTTTTTGTTCCTGAAGAGGCCAGGGATAGCTATAGTTTAGAGGGGCTCAGACAGTGTCAGCTTAGCTTGGTCTGTGTGTCTCTGTATCCTTCTCTTTCTTGTTCTTGCTACTTCTCTCTCCTCCTCCTCCTCTCTCGTGTTTCCCTTATTCTGTGTTGAGGGGGCCCCAGTAGCTTCAGGGTTCTTTAATTTTCTTATTGGATATTCTGGAAGAAAGGAAGAACTTGTCTTTTCCAGTAGTTCTGACCAACTGGGATGCTTGCTTTCAGTCTTTATGGATCTTGGGGGCCAGCAGATGACATAATGCTTATGTTGCTGGACCCCCACATAGGTGACTGCAGTTCGAGTCCTGGACCTGGTAGTTTAAAACTCACGCCGGGCACATGTACGTGTATGCCCAAAATCCTGAGAGGAGAATGGAAGAGAAGGGATTGCAGCATGGCCACCATCCCAGGGTGTGATTTCTCACTTTCTGTCTCTGTCTCTCTCTCTTTGGCGAGTGCATGTTCCCTATACCAAAAATCTCTCTAAGAAGAAAAAAGACTTTATGGATCTTCTAAGGTCACATGGGCATTCTTAAACCATGCTGAGGAGAACAGACCCATCAATTTCTCCACCCTGCGCCCTTTGCCTTCTGCAGAATCAGGGTAGGGTGGGTCTTCCCTTGATCCCTGGAGTAGAATTGGGTGGCCTCTAAGGGAAAATACAGGTGCTATTAGAAGAAGAGAACATGCAGACTGGCCATGTAAAAGGGAAAATCTACAGTAAGGATCTGCTTGATAAATTAGAGTATTTCGTGGGAAGCACAACAATTGTAAATAGATATTTTTGGGTTTTTAAAAGTGTATCCTATTAATAGTTTGAACGTCTTTCCTGCTGTCTTTCCTCAGTATTAATGGGTGAGGTGTAGCTCTTTCTCATATCCTGCAGAGACGTTTACCCCCTTCTGCTCAATGGTCAGAGATGCATGACCAGTGGGAGTTTGTTCTGTGGCCTCTTTGCAGTCCAGTGCTAGAACCACCCAACCCACGCTTGGTGTGACCAGCCCTTGGGGTGAGATTTGTTGGGCCAGAACCAACCCACATTTCTCTCTGTCCAGAACTGCTGGCTCAAACGTAGGCCATCGTGCAGCTAAACAGAGGCCTCCAGTGACCCGTGCAGGGACCTGAGCACTCCCTGGGAGCTGGAGTAGTGCAGAGCTGCACCAGATTATGGGGTGCTGGCAGGTGCCTCTCCTGCATATGCCATGCTGCCTCCCTGTAGGGGGAGCTTGGGTAACCAAGGCTAGGGCCGAGCATCCTGGTTTGCATCTCATGGAGTGGGGTGATCAGGGGAAGATATCCTGGGTCTCTCTGGGCTTCTAAGTCCCTGGGTTTGAAGGGAAAGAACTTCAGAGCACCTTCCCAGAACTCTGTCAAGCAGCTGAGCACAAGTCCCCAAACCTGACATGAGAACTGGGAGATACCTTCTGGTTCACAGCCGGGGGTCTGGTGGCCACCCTGAGCGTTCGGGCCCAGTGTGTACCAATGTGTTTGGGGCTCCTGGTCCAGAATGGTGAGTGGGTTTTGGTCCACAGGTCCCAGTGGAAGTGGCTGAGAGACAGGGCGACTCAACAGTCGTGGCGGGGATTTCTGACTCGTGGTGTGGCTCTGTTTCAGGCCTGCAGGTACGGGCACGTGCAGCACCTGGAGCACCTGCTGTTCTACGGGGCAGACATGGGTGCTCAGAATGCCTCTGGGAACACGGCCCTGCACATCTGCGCCCTCTACAACCAGGTCAGTACCGAGCACATGGCGGGCTTGCTCCCTGTTCACCCTGACCGGGGTGCACCTGGCACCAAGCAT